TAGAATTATCTATAAGTCTACCATTCGTCCATGTAAGATAGATTCTGGAGAGAAAAAATCTAGCAACATTTTATTAGCACCAGCACTCAATGTGCGATATTTTTATATTTCAAATTCTATTTCGCCAAAAATCCAACAACCATGTTAATTCTGAAGCATAACTTTTTTGTCAGCAAGCAGATTCTGTAATAATAGTGATCAGTATCAAGTGACAGAGTATTAACATTTTTGTGACGTACGGCGGCGTTAATAATTAGGTATAACTCAATACTGCAATGTTAAGATAAAACAGTATTTAACTACAACCGCTAATAAATACTTAACAAGAACAAAGAAGTAAAATCCAACCAGAGATAATTAACCATTTCAGTGAATACCTTGTTAGTAGCGCGGCTCAGTTCGGCTCGGCTTAACGTCCGGTAAATTCCAAGTCAAAACCCAAATCATGGACGTACAATAATTCACACTAATTCGACTGGATAGTTCCACTCAATAATCACTCAATAATCATTGCGGCCAGTAGCCTGACACTGCTATTTATACACCTGTCGGAAAACATATTAATAAGTTCAGATCCTAAAACAAAAGCCAAACCATCGACGCACAGTAATTCACACTAATTCGACTGGATAGTTCCACTCAATATTTACACAATAATCATTGTAGTCAGTAGCCTGACACCGCTATTTATACAGCTGGCGGAAAACATATACCAATAAGTCCAGTGTTACGCTCGAACCTCGGTGTCGGTAGTTACTCATTTTCTTCCTATATGGTAAATGGTAACTACTACTACTAATAATAATAATAATAATGGCAATCTAAACCATTGTATAGAAAGTACACAAAGCGTGCACTGGACATTGATGTTCATCAACCCCATCAATAGCTTAGAAGTAGTGGTCTTAAGCGGAAGCAGAAGGCCTCGTTACAGCAGTACAAGACCAATGTCTTCCATCTATGGCCTACGATCAACAAAGCCATTTTACATTTTTACCAATTTCCAATCAGCTCCCTCATATTGATAGGCGTGTTTTTCCAAACATTTCATAACTCTAATGGATAAATTTAAATTTTTAAAGTAACTATAACAGAGCGCGTTCGTGCATGTTTTTATAAATCACTATCACAACGGAATGCAAATTTTATCGCATTTACAATAAATTTGTCTTTGTAATTTATCACTGAAGATGATCTTAGAAAAGATCGAAAGTACTTGGATTAAAAACTACGGCGCCATACTTGATGAAATTCATCTTAGCATCAAAAAACTGATTAGACAACTGGAAAGGATCGGTATAAAAATAAGTAGACAAAATATATCTATATTATTCAATGAAACACACACATATATATATATATATATATAGAGAGAGAGAGAGAGAGAGAGAGAGAAAGGGATAAATAGATAGATAATACCATATATATATATATATATATATATATTGAGAGAGAGAGAAAGGGATAGATAGTTAGATACCATATATATATATATATATATATATATATATATATATATATATATATATACCATTTGATAATAGTTAGTGAGAATTCCAAGAAGAACATTAATCTAAAGAGAGCTAAATGTAAGTAACAGAGCAATATAATAATAATATTTAAATATATTCGTGAAATAAATTATGTCCGAATGGGTTTTTAAGGATTTTCTTTAATATATATAATGGTGAACTCTCCCGTCGTAATCGACGCATGTGGGTCAAGCGACTCAGTTCCTAGGAACCGACTGCCAAGACAACGGCACATATGGTTTGATTATAGTGGTTAAGTTTTTGTGCAGACCCAACCACATTTTTTGGAAGAGCCGGATACAGAGTGCACCGTGTGTCGCCAAAAGTCCCTAACCGACCCTCCTCCTTTGAATTCACAGTTGTCCTTCTCCTGCTATTTACCCATAGCTGGGGGGAGAATACGGGATCAATATCTTTCCCAAGGGTTTTAGCACGTAAGCGAATGTAACGGAGTCGACTGGAATTCGAATTCGGCTCTCTGATTCCTCAATCCAAGCCGCTATCCATTCCTCCATCGTATATATATATATATATATATATATATATATATATATATATATATATATATATATATTTGGATTGATGAGTTTGTGACCCTGTTTGTCTGACTATCGCAAAAGAGTGAAACCCAGGGTCACAAACTCACATCAATTCAACCAAATATGTTAGCTCTATCTCTGATATTGAGCGCTTTCTAATAAGTACCGCGCATATAATATATAAATAATTATATATATATTTATTTATTTATATTTATATACACACACTTTTCACTCACACACACACATACACACACACACACACATATATATATATATATATATATATAGAGAGAGAGAGAGAGAGACAGAGACAGATATAGAAGAACAGGCAGGGAGACAGAAAGAGAGAGGGTACTTCGATGAGGTATAATGGTCAACAAGCTTCCTAGATCAGTTGCCACTATGTAGTGAGTTTCTTTCCACATTAGGTACCCCACAGTTTCAGCCTGGTGTCGCAGCTAAGCTCCGTTTACAATATCTTTTGAGCACTTCGACGTGGTTTAATGTTTAGCGAGCTTGTCTCCCTAGGTCATTTACGACTTCAAAATGACTTCTATCTTCACTGGATGCCCCATGTTTTCGGCCTCGTGCGTCAAAAAAATCATTACAGTGAGGGATGACGGGAAAATCTTTTACTTCCTCTTTTGCTGCTTACACAAAACTGATTTTTTTTTTCTTGCTGAATGCATCGCGTCGTCAAATTTATACTGAGTTAAAAAATGTGACCTTTTTGAAAATCATACACTGTTTAGTGTAGCGGTCCTTCTGCCGGGTTGGAGGCCTATTTTATGCAGACTTTCTCTAGCTTTTAGCACTAGAATTTTAAGAAAGAAAAAAAGTAAAAGATAAAAACAAAAAGGGAAAAGTTAAATTCCAACACATCCAATAAATAACTAAATATAGCCAGTCTGTCAGTTAAGTGTCATACGTCGTACACGCTCGGACGAGCCTGTCTCATTCGATTTCTGACGAGGTAGAAAATGTTCTTGCAATAGGTTGCAATTATTTTCTTCGGTAGGCTGGTTGCCAACCAAGGCTATAGGCTCCAATCTGTCCTGATATTTAACCCATAGCTTTGAGTATAGAATAAAGACGGATTCATAGCTTTCCCAAGTTTGGACATCTCGGCGTGGTGTAATGATTAACAAGTTTATCTCGCTAGATTAGTTACGACTGAAAAGTGAATTCAATACTCACTAGGTGCCCCGTACCTTCGGCCTTGTGCCATATCTAAGGTACGCTTAGAAAATAACCAGACCTTTTCTAACTGTATTTGCGCGTAAGTGAATGTCATGAACTCGACTGGAATTCGAACTCGGACCTCCGATTTTTTCATTCCAAGCCGATTTCCTTTACACCACAACGGGAGACGTCTTAATTGTAAGTGCCTAAAAGTTGCCATCTTTTTTTTCTTCTTCTAAAATCTGCAGACTAAATATGCAGTTTTCGATGGAAACATGCACACAATACAGGGTGTCCATAAAATTCGTGTGCACTTTAAAAAATTTATAACTTTATTTGTATTTACGATAGAAATAATTTGTAAAAAGGATTAGAAAGAAGTAAATCTATAACTTTTAAGGTTTTATTGAAATTTTATTGAAATTTCCACATGTCCTCCATCATTAGCAATACAAAGGGTAATACGATTTTGCAGTTCACGGAAAACATTTGCCAAGTGATTTATGCTAATGCCTGAAACCACATTAGTTATTTTAGCTATACTTAAAGCTAGGTACATTAAACTTTATAACAGTTTTTACAGATTATTTCTATCGCAAATATAAATAAAGATATAAATTTTTTAAAGTGCACACGATCTTTATAGACACCCTGAATATTACCGTCTGTTGTATTGCTGTCCTATTCGGCCGGGTGCTACTGCTATTTACCTCGAGATTCTTGACAAAATCCAAAGAGAGATATGCAATGTTATCGATCCTGAGTTGACATCTCGAATTCAATCCGCCGACTTGACGTGGCTTCCCTCTGCCTTTTCTACAAACATTTTCATGTCAACTGCTCTGACGAATCTTCTTCACTGGGGCTCCTGACTGCATGACATTAAGCGTTCTACTAGATTGGTATCTAGGTCCCACCCTTTTACTGTTGAAATAGTTAAATGCTACCGCCACTTCTACTCCAGCAGTTTCTTCTCTTGAACTTCCTGGCATTGGAACTCCCTTCCGTTTACTTGCTTCCCTGATAACTACACTCTTTAAAAATTTAAATGCACCTTCAATCTTCTATCTTTTTGAATCCCGTTCATATTTTTGTTCTTTCCTTGATCCTCCCTATACTCAGTCTTTTCTCTCACTCTCACTCGCTGTAACTCCCTGCGTTCTAGTGGCATTCCCACCTTTGCTTGGGGGGAAATGATTAGGAAAAAAAAAAAAAAAAGATATACTTGTGCCAATTTCATGTATAATGCGGCCTTGAATACTTTTGCATGATTTTGAACCTTTTGAGAAAAAAATTACCTGTGTATAATACAACTGGATCACCGAAAAATGCTTGATTTTTAACTTGGAAAAAATTACCTGTGTATAGTGTGACTATTTCTTGCGTAACGACCTGATAAAAAGAATAGCACTATATTCGATTATATACGGTAACATGAAAAATACTAATTTTTTTCTTTTTAGATAATTTTAGATAATTACGAAGGATTATTTTTTTTATTTTAAGTATATTGGCATTCGCAGAACATAGGCGAGACCTGACATCTGGATTCCAATTCATGGATCCATCCCTGGAATATGATCCAAATATCACAATAAGATGAAAGGAAGACTATTAAAATCTTATTAATTAACCCCCCCCACACACACACACACCAAAAAAAAGTTCCAGATTCTGCCACAGCGGTTTTCTGCTGCTTCCAAACGACTACTATAGTCCAAAGACACACCTCTCAATGTGACTA